CGGGCAGCCGCGCCGCGCCGCCGCCGCCAGCAGCAGCCGCCGCAGCAGCAGCCAGGGCTGGGGCTTTCCAAGCAACCCCAATGACGGGCTAGTAGGGGAGACGCCGATCCTGCCGGCAAGCTCTTTGCACGGCAGAGACGTTGATCAGTGTAAAGTGAAGATCGCATTTTATATGAGATCTTGACTTTTTTTTTTCTTACAATATATTTTTATACACTTTGTTATAAAACATGGTGCTGGGGAAGGTGAAGAGTTTGACAATAAGCTTTGACTGTCTCAATGACAGCAATGTCCCCGTCTATTCTAGCGGGGACACAGTCTCAGGAAGGGTCAATTTAGAAGTTACTGGGGAAATTAGAGTAAAATCTCTTAAAATTCATGCAAGAGGACATGCAAAAGTACGTTGGACTGAATCTAGAAATGCTGGATCCAACACTGCCTATACACAGAATTACACTGAAGAAGTAGAATATTTCAACCATAAGGACATCCTAATTGGGCACGAAAGAGGTAAGATTTTTTACTTACTAGTTCATTATATGCAGACATTTTTCTGGAAAAGGACGCATCTTTGCTTTGTCTTGCTTTATTGCTTTTTAATATGTAGCCCCTAAGATCCAATATTTCTGAAGATGAGGAAACGCAGAGTACCTTCTTGAGATTTCTGTTCCATTATATGGACGTTTACTTAATGTTAAAACTGTACTGAGATGCATCTGCAAAGTGCCTGCAAACAGGACTTTCTTAAACTACCTGCCCTTTAACGGAGCTTTTTCATAAGGATTTGCAGTTTATTAATACTGTATCTTTGGAATGTAATATTATTTTGTCACAGCGATAATGGCAAAACATTTTTTTGTGGGGAAAATAAATATCAAAAACAGAGATGCAGTACATGACTTTCCTGGAGACAGCCTATCAAATTGTGAAATATAATTAAAACATAAAACTAGACTTTTTGACACACTAGATACAGGTCTGCTTTTCAGACTGATAAGTGATGATTTTTAAAGATGGATCATTGCTGGCAGATAGAAGAGTCCCCGTGGCTTATTTTGACATATGCTATCACCACCCCACGTGTAATTTCTCCCTCTTCCTTTGCTCTAAACTACTAGTAAATTCGTAAATTACTTCCGATTTCTCTTATTAAACCTCTGTGTGGGAGACCGAGAGGTAAAGATCTGCCGAAAAGGCCAAATAAGAGTCCGCAGTTGTATAATCGGAGCATCGTTTCTAAGTTAGGGAGTTCTGGAACCTGCATTCAATGGAAACCCGGTCTGCCCAGCCCCGATAGAAACGTAAAGTGCTCTGCAAATTCCCTTATTTTGGGTATGGAAAAGGGGGTAACACATTGTGAGGGGGGGTGCGGATCTTCGGTTTGTTAATGTGTTGTTCGCATGGTTACATTGTGAAAGTATAGGGGACTCTAAGCTTGTTTTTCTGAAGTTTCCACCCTTTGTTAGAAGCGGTTCAATCCTGTTTGGGACCAGTCCTGGGGAGAGGGAGGGGGTGCTCCTTCTCCTCTCCGCAGATTGGTTACGCGCGTCAGGTGGTGGCGATGACTTAATTCCTAGCACAAGAAAATAATGTTAAAACTGGTTATGTAATTTTCCTTTTTTTTTTTAATATGCAGCATATTTACTGCAGAGATCGGTGCATGAATAGGATATTCTCCCTTCTTTTCTTAGGAAGAAATGCAATTTTTAAGGAAGTTTGACTATAGTTTGCATTGGACCTCTTGAAAGACATTTTTTGAAATGAATAGTAATGTAGGAATGAGTTTTTTAATTATGTTATCGTGGCGCAAGCCAGTATAGGTCACTAACGAGGTGGCCTGTAGCTGAAATGTTCTTTATGCTGCTGCTTGGGAGATAATTCACCCATGCGAAACTTCATTCACCTCCAGTCTGCAGCTGACAGAAACGTGCAAGCATGCATGAGCCTTCATGGCAGGGTGCATGCTTACAAGTAGGAGGGAAACCCCCTGCTTCCAACTGGCTGCTTAGGCAGCAGCAATGACTTTGCATGTGGAGTGTAGATCCAAGTGCTGACCCTGCTGGTAGGGGCTCCCTTTTGGCTGGAAAGGGAACAAAAGACTAAGGAAGAGGCAGATCTGACGCCCTCGGATACCAGGAGGGACACAGGGCTCGCACCCGGTCGGTGTGAGGAAACTTGGGCGGTTGGCGCGGGGAACGCCTACTGCTGTGCCCCCACGGCCGGGCAGCGA